AAAAAAAGTAGCAAGAGAATTTAGGCAGAGTACATGCCTTTGTCTGCTTCAAGAAACTTTCAGGTCCTGCTGGAGGCAACTGCAAAATACCCACACTGTTACCCACATTATCACCAGGGCCAAGTTTCATAAGTTCTTGTGGTCGCTCATTTATTTTCATTTTGTTGAAATTTTCAAAAAACTTGTCAACGGCAATTCTCTGTCTCCCAAGCAGTGCAGGCATATTCTCGTAAGGGTCCAATGGTGTGCAGTCAATATCCTGTCAAGGCAAAAGCATTGCAACCCAACTGACAAACAAAAGAAAATTGGCCAGAATGATGATAGGGAGTACAGAAGATGCAAACATCTGCAGCGTTTGTCGAAAACAGCAAATGCAAAGGACCAAATCTTAGAAGGCTCATCCAAATCCGACATGGCATTTCACAATTTGGCAGATATTAGAAAGAGTAAGTAAATGAAACTTATTGGCATAGTATGTATGCGCCCATGAGCTGACAATTTAACCTAAAGCTAGATTTTACTTACTGGCAATTTTAATAAATAACCCGATTTTTACAATAAAAAAAGAATAAGTAAATGAAACTTATTCCCACTGCAATTATTTTATAGCAGTAGGGATCACATAGTCACTCAGAAGAAGAAATATAAGGGAAAGTAATATCAGACATAATCTTAAAAGGCTAACTGGCTACACAGAAACAGTGCAGAAATTTGAAAACAATAAATTAATAAAATGAGATCTAGAAGATACCATGACAAATTCCACCCCGAGTTCAAGCTGGTCAAATTGAACCCGACATCTAGAGTGATCGACCGTCAGCACTCTTCCATCATGAATTTCCCTTGTTTTTGGATGGATAGCAATGACACGCTGTCCAACTGATAAAGGCCGTGCAAGGTCAGTTGGCAGTCCTTCCCGAACTCCTTCACGAAGCTCACTGTAGTGTTTTCTAACAGAATCTCGATACTGACTAAGCTTCTGCTTTTCCTCCCTCAGGAACTGCTCTGAAAATCGCCGAGGCTTGCCCAGAGAACTGGAAGGAATTTAAAAGAACCCATGCACAGTTAACATGATTCCTTACATCACGCATAAAAATAAAAATTAAAAATAAAATAAAAAAGACAAAGTAGTTAAATTGAAGTAGATAAAAGTTGTTAAATTAAAGTATACCTTCTTATGACACCCCACTCGACACGAGTCAACCTTGCCACGTGACCAAGTCCAACATGGTACAAATATTCAACAAACTCCCTCTTAGCAAACCACGGATAATCAATGGCACTGTAGAACCACTCGTAAGTGCACCATCTTCTTAGATGGGGATTCTCCAAACAACTCAAAAGTTTTTTCTGTGTGACGGAATACGGATAGTAAATATAGTAATTTTGACTATACCTTTTAGGAGTTGAAAAAATTAGAAAATAGTACACCTTTAAAGAAGATGCTACATCGTGCATCGAAGAAAACGGCAGTTCATTTGAGATTTTATTGCGAAATTTCAAATCTTTCCGAATTTCTGGTTTTCTAAGGAACATCTTACGCCTGCTTCGAACTGTAATAGGCACCTGGTCCACCACTGGAACATGTACATATGGTTGGGCTAAGTCACAAGCCTCTTTTTGTAGATCAGTTGCAGAATGATTTTCTGAAGTTTCCAGCAAGTTCGGCAAACCACTTTGTTTACATTTTTTATTCTTGCTCATCAACTTCTTTCCTGCATCTCCAGCCTGCAGAAAGAAATTCCAAGATATAGAGAGACCCCAACTCGAGAGGGAAACTTTTCGGCAGATGGACACAAGCGTTGCAGTTCACAAAAGAACACATCCCATAATGACTATTATCTCAAAAAATAAAACAAAATCATATCAAAAAATAGTAGATCATTGCAAGATAAGTAATCGAGAAAGATAAACATATTCCAGGTCCCAAGTTTTCAAATTTCGAAACATTCAACTTAATATTTGCCCCTACAGAAAGGGAAAAAAATATAGAAGATTCATCATATCTGGAAAGACGTCATAATGGTAACAGAAACAGATGTTTGTTATAGAGCATTGGGTAGAGTATAGTACAGTACCTCAGTCACTGGAGAGTCTATTTGTAATATCCCGATATTTTATCAGTATAAATTATGTTTTAGTTCCGATATAATAATGTTATCAATTATTATTTTCGGAATTAATTATTTTCAGTCGAGATTACCGAAATTTATTTTCGACGTACCGTGTACGTTCGGAATAATTTTGGTAATTAAGCATTATGTTTAATTAAATAATTAAACATAAGGAAAGGGATTAATTAGCACTTAATCATCAATTAATCATCAAAGCCGTGTGGAATTATGGAATTTCCTTCAATTTAAAAACAAAAGCCGTAAGGATATGTTAGTACTTCCACCAAATTTTCCTAAGTCTTAAGTAAAGTTTCCCTTCTATTTGGAGCATGGAAACGTGGCAAAATAAAAGAGTGGTTAGTCATTGTAACCCATCTAATTTTTAAGCAAATGGCAAGCTTAAGCAAGGCCACGCCTAACGTACGTCATCACCTCAATTGTGAGCATCCTTCGGCCTTTGGTATAAGAGAGGGAGTTGGTCCGAAATTTTTCCCACAACTTACGCATATATTATTCTTCCAAATCCTTAGTAGAGTTCAGCAGCAAATTCCCTAATTTTCCCATACCATCGCACGACAATTGACGAAGCATCGCACGGCAAGGTAAGGCATACACACGGGCGCACGCGAGGATCAACGGAGGTCGCGATCAGCTTGTAGTTCCATCGAGCACTTGAAGAGGTAGAGTTATCTTGAATCTCTTTTCATGTTAATAAGTCCATTTAAGGCTGAATTGTTCGGTCCTTATGTAAGAAATTCTTAGTTATGTCGCATTAAGTTCGGTTTAGGCCATTTTGGGCCAAGACCGAGTTATGTTCATTTTTCTCCGGCAAGTCCCGAGTGTTTATTATTTCTTCAGCCATCATTTAGTGTATCATGTTCAGTCAGGTGGGAATTGGTGAGTAAAATAAAAGTTCGGTCGAGAATTTGGCTTAAAGCCAAGGACCGCACGTGGTGTGCGCGTCACGGCCGCACCGTGTTATCTTTCATTATTGTCAAGTTTGTTCGAACAATTGATGTTTAAATGATCAAGTTAGGTCATTTTATGTTCAGTTGGCTCATGTTGTTCGAGAAGTTTTCATGTTTGACCGAGGAATTGGCCATAAGCCGTAAGCCTCGCACATAGCGAGCGCACCACGGCCATGTATTTGGTCCATCAAACTAAGTTCAGCATTTTCATGTAAATTCAGTATATTGGTCATATTAAGTCAGGTGATGTTGTTTTATGTTAAGGTTGTCGGAAAATAATGTCGGACGACCGGCAAGGGTCGACCGTAGGCCGTG